ACCTTAGATATGGATGCTCAAGGCGAGTTGGACATCTCCAATATTCCATGTCGGGTCTGCGGTGGACGCTCCTCCGGCTTCCACTTTGGTGCTCTCACCTGTGAAGGCTGCAAGGTGAGTGGAGTGCACTCGCTCTCTCCATCAGTGTCATGATTTTCTTTTTTTTTAACAAAGGGTGGCTAACATCACGTGGTAGGCAGTAGAAAGGCTTTTTACTAATATAAACGAAAATTTGTTTTTTGTTTCTTGAAAAGGCTGAAGGTAGAAAGGTGGTCTCAGCTCTTGGATTGCTACCTTTCCACCTCTTTGATGGTCTTTGCACATCTTCTGTGTAGGCGTTTCTGATGCTGATCCAGTTATCTTAATGTCATTTTGCATTTCGAAAATATCACCTGCTCTGTTTGACATTGACATGGTGCGACTGTCAGATGGACCCAACCAACTAAAGACTTTGAGGAGAGGTATAGACTCCCTTTTTGCATTTTTCAACCCCTGATCTCGACATCACCTTTTCAAAGCTAAAATTATTGAACAATATTTCAACCGCTATCTACGACTTACCTCTTTCCTTCACTGGCCAATGGATGCTTTTCCCTTCGACTGTATCTCCCACATCCGTGACCAATGTGGCTGATGGCTAGTGCCTTTACAGAAACGGCAAGTCGAACGGCATAGCTGGAGACATTGTGGAATGGTGGAATGAGATGTGCTGGCAGTGGGTAGGAGGCGATAAGAAGGGGAAAAAAGGAGTCGGTCAGGAGGATGGTAAGGGGAAGAGGAAGAGGGTGTGAGAGACGAGTCGAAAGAGGAGGTTTGTGGGTGTGTTTGAAGGGTGGGAAGAGCGCGCCAAGGTCATGTGCGCTACGCCTAAACGACGATGCGACAGTAAACAACCACTGGCTTTGCGTGACGAATACACCCTCCATTGGTCGCAAGATTGCTTTTCTCAAGGTCACCCCTGCGTCAAGGTCACTGTCGCGTGTGGGCGAACGCATCCATATTAGTCTACTGTCTTGCATGTGTTGTTGATGGCAATGATTATGATGATGAGAAATGGTTCGCCGGTGTGATTTATGCTTGTGACTTCTCGGGCGGGTACAAAGCAGGCTGGGTTTATTGCCTCAAATCGCCTCACCTCCAATGCAATATAACTGGAAGCCCTTTGCTGCTGCCTTCTTCATGGGCACGCACAAGTGGGCAAGAATTGTCGAACAAGAGGGCACTCATGGTTAGGCGCTTGTGAGAGTAGTCGTTGTAAAAGCTTTTGACGTCTAACAGCCGCGTGAAGTTCGTGCTACCATTTCTATCCATCATCCGGCAAGCTAGTCGGTAAACCCGCACTGACTACTTTTTTCCCCCTATTTGATCCACTTTTGGTCACCGTTATTTATCTCACGTGTTAGTAGTGTCAAAGTGATGATCCTCGCTTGAAAACTCGCTTCATGTGGTAGAGCCCATTCGATTGTGTTTGGCTTCTCGATGGTGCGGTGGTGGCCAAATAAGACGGTACTAATTATTATGCCAAATGAAACTCAACACCTCTATGAATCATTCCAGGGTGAATGGATGCAAGAATATGCAAAGTAGTGAGTGTACGGGGATTTTAGTAATCACACTGTTTGGGAATTCCGTAGCATTTAAGGTACTGCGTGCTCCTCTCCGTCCCGTCCCGCTGATGCCGCCTACTGCTCCGACGCTCTGCGGCGGCAATCTCGAGATCCGCTATTCGCCCTCGGATAGTGGTGAATATGGCAGTAATTAAGTTTGGGAGGCATTCCTTTCTCACACACCACAATTAAATCGAGTTAGTATGCAGCCACGACGTTTTCATCACGACTTACGTCTTCTTTCACTTTCATGTTACTGGAGAAAACGCGTAAGAACTAATTTCAGTTTACAAAATTTCCCGTCTTCCGGGTCGCGAATCTTAAGATTTACTCTTTAAACGAACCCTTCTCCAACTTCGGAGTTGAGAAAGTAACTTGCAATGAGAGCCTAACCGAGCACGTTTCTCAAACTCCGATTGGCAACAGGCTAGAGCGCTGCCAGCATCTCTCACCGGAGGGTGTGAATGCATACGATTTCCAGTGATTTTCATTTTACCCCTCCACTTGTAGGGCTTTTTTCGACGAACAGAGGAGTCAGCGTCGAGATTGGTATGCGTCGGTGGGAAGGACAACTGCACAATCACCCCACGTAGCCGCAATGTCTGCAAGGCCTGCAGATTCCGTCGGTGCCTTCGTGCCGGCATGTCCAAACGCGGTGCGTTTAAGTGCCAAGCGCAAGTTTTATTTTGTTAACTGTGCACTGCCGAAATTTACTCTGGGGTCCCGTTCAAATTACAATTCGGTGATCAGATAGAGCAGAATGGGGGCGGGTGGGCAACATCTGTTGTTTAGATTGTGAAAATTAAATTACAATGCGTTTCTGGACATCAGCGATCAAGTCCGCGGCAGACACCAAAGCAACTCCCAGCCATTGGATCTAATCGCTAAATCATCTAACAAGAGACCCTTGTAGGGGCATCCAGTCCATCGTACTGATTAATTGGTGCCCTGTAGCCGCAAGATCTCCCTCCTTTACCTCCCCTCACTTTAGCAGGGAGTCACTCGCACTTGCCCGACATTTCCCTCCCTTGGCCGTCATCCTCCACTGCCAGTCCGACAGTACGTGCGACCTCGTTGTCGGACTCGATTTGCACAGCGATGACTCTCCGCTGCCCTTCTCTCGCCATCTACCCCCAGACTCCCCCTCCTCCTCACCGCCACCACCACAACTACAAACATACACATACAGCGGACACCATTCTTCGCCTCATTGCGACCATCATCATTATTATTATGCCGGTTTCAGGAAGTCGGATAGGACGTCAACCGAACGCCGTCAAATTCCATTGTGCCATTGAGATTCGCCAGCTAAAGGACAGTGGACAACCGCTGGCAAGTGATTTCACACCTCTACCACGCAAACACAGCTCCGTTCCAACACTGGCCTCCTCCTCCGCTTCGCCCTCGTCCTCTTCGCAAACGACCGTGCCTGTCGGAGGTGGTGTGGTGGAGCTTCCACAGCGCAGGGCTTCAGCAGGAGCTTGCGACATGGCCGCCTATACTGGGTCAATGCTTCCACGGCGCAAAGCCTCAGCTCCTGTGAAAATGGAGACTACGTCTGTACCACAGATGCCTATCACACCAGTCACTGTCTCCGCCCCCTCCTCATCATCATCGTCAGCGGCGGCAGCTGCTGCGGCAGCAGCAGCAGCGGCGGCGGCAGCAGTGGCTGGAGTGGTGGGGACGGATGAGGAGATTCTGGTGGATGGACTAAATTGGTTCAATTACGGAATGCGCATGGCCATGGAGTTCATGCGACTTCCAGCCACGGTATCTTCGTCCTCATCTTCCACCTCAGCCTCCTCAACCATTTCTGCATGCCTCTTTTATCAACAGGTATCGGGAATACTTCTTTTAAACTCTCCGCGCATGGCGGATAGCGCCGTCCGTAGTTGGAATCGCTTCCACTGACTTTTAACGTCACTACTTATTTGCATTGAAGTTTGGAGGCTTAAGGTGTCATAAACTTACCCCCCTTCGTATACGAGTTTTAAAGAACTATTCCCGATGCCTGCTGTTCTTATGAACTGCATAAATACTAATTGCCTTGAAACATTTGCCAGTCTGTTGATTATATAGGTGAACCAGCCCTTCCTCCGACCGACTGCTTTGACCTCTTTCCTCTGTTATTCGGACGTAGGGCATGCTTTTTGAAATGGGAGCTGTTTCCATTGCAATAGAATCGTGTTGATAGCTAGATTCTTGTGTGACGCTCCCTTCGCAATAATTAGTGATTCCTCTTCCTTCCCATCTGGACAGTACTTCAAATCTCGCTTCGACATGAGCACCATCGAGCCGTCACAGGCTGACGATGAACACCAGGTATGGGATCACGTGATGAACCACTTCCATCTTCACTCTCAACAAGTCGTCCAATTCGCTAAGCTGATTCCAGGTTAGCCTCCTGCCAGCTTTTGTTTATGTCTACTTGATGTGCTCTCGCGATGACACAAACAACACACACAGAGTCGTTTGGCGTCTGTTCCTGTATCCACCTGTTTGAAAAATATCGCTCGTTTTGGCGATCTGATTTCGAGCAGTAAGTCGCCTTGTGTCATAAGTAACATCGGAGCATTAACTGGAATGGCTCATTGTTCATGTCGAGTGCCAAGGATTAAGCATTGGGTGAAGCCAGTTAGGAGGATATTGCAATCTCGGCTACGTTTCCAACTGGGGAGCAATTGGGCGGTGAGTGGATGACGGATTTGTCGAACTCAGCACTTGTCAGTAGTCTGAAGAGCCTTGAGTACTGTTGACAAGCCTTGGATTTCGTCCACACTATCAATTTTAATTTTCGTGCCCGTGTGAAGTGTGTGTTGGATGTTTTTTCCTACCTTCCCTGTGCCATAACTAACGATCCACCGACGTTACGCCTTGGAAGGGGGAAAAAGACTAGCAATCTTCCCATCGGCGATTTCTATTGTAAAGCTCACTCGTTCGATTCTTGCAGCGAACTGCATTGGGATATACTAGACTGCTGTCGTAACCTTGTCATATGGGTGCTCCTCCTTCAGACTCTTTCGAATTGAAGAAGACGACGAGTTTGTGGAATGTGACCTGACTATCCCATGCATTGAGCTCCATTGCGGCCTTTGCAGACACTCGACCCCGCAGAAGCAGCGGTCGGAGGGAGTTGGCCAATTAGATTGGCGGCAGCGCCCACGTCATGCCGGCGTATGTAAACAACACCAACAACAGCAGCAGCAACAAAAACAAGAAGACAGTTGTGGATACATGCACATACGCGCACAACGTGTGATTCATTACTGGCGCGTCACGTGTCCTACCACCCCATCCTCCCGTCCCAACGGATTTTCACGTGTAAACATAAACATCCGCGAATGCCTGCCTACCTGTGCGGTTGCCAAATTTTGCTGGCGAGTACACTACTCACCAGCATTTCAGCGGCTAGTGCTCGAGTAATTATAGCTATCGCCAGTGAGGGCGCCTTGAGCTGTTCGCATTATGCTTTATAGTTATCTGGAAGAAAAGTATATTTCCGCTGTCCGCGTTTATAATTCGCGCTACTTTGTAGCATTTCAGCGACCTTCGTTTATCAATGCCCGATCGGCGAGCCGAATTGACTCAGATTTTGTTTTTTTCCGTATGTGCTCGGAATTTGGTCTGCGAACCTTAAGATTGAGCTTGCTACTTACAAGCACTTTGCTGATTTCAGTAGAGGCTTGTGTGCTTATCTATATTTTCATTGTAATCACCAACATAACCGTAGCTTCGGCGAAATAAGAAGTTGTCATATTCTACCATGACTACTGCCGCATGGTAAAATTTTCCGTGCAATTCGTTACAATAAGTAGCGAAACGCAGTGACATAGTAGGGGCTATTAAATAGGCCTTATTGTGTTTCCGCAATGTCTGTGTAGGGCGTATTTTATTAAGTAGAAAAAAGCAGAAACAAAAAACACCACAAACTTTGCACACTGCACAAATTAAGTCAACTTATTCGTCCGGCTCCATTGTCCATAATGGGGCCTGAAAGTGATGAAGGTGTCCCCGGGTGCTCCTGGAATCTTGCCATCTCTGGAATGCAACGCTTATCTTGTAATCCTTACACTTACCTTAATGCTGATTATATCATTGTGTTTATATCTTATGCGCCACTTTTTAGCTAATATCTAACTGTTTCCACTTTATTTGTCATTTATTAAGCAAAACTTATACCTATAAATCCTAGGTTGTTCAAATACCTTTGGAATCGTCGAATGTCTAAGCAGATTTCATTTTTACACTACTTGATAAAGTGTGTCAAACAAATCACTTTAGTGTAGCTACCCCAAGGTCATACCTACGTTTTTAGCAAATGGCCACGAAGGGATTAGCATGTATTACCTCCAAAAAGTGCAAAAGCTCATCCCCTACTTGAACACAAAACAATTTCTTGACTTCAAAGGTTTCAATCAGATGAGTTTGTCCGCCAGAGGTCATTTGGTGCGAGCAAGCCTTTACTCCGAGGTTTTGCTAATGCTGTCGCGTGATTACGACGCTGCTGAGGATCGTTACAACTTCTTGGACTTCTCTCCCACCGAACGTGATATCGTTCTGCGCCACTTCCCCATCTACAACAGGGTCGTTGAACATCTCAAAATCTCAGGTCGATTTTTCCAACAGCTCAATCTAACTCACACAGAATTCGTCTACGTCTGCGCCATCGGGATTCTTAGATGTAGGTCCATCACATCTTTTGCGATAAACTTGTCAGTGTGCAGTTATTTCGAGTAATACGTTTTTTCTCTAATTATAGACTACTATATTCTCGCTAATCCAGCTTACACGGACGCGAGGAAGTTATTGCTCCTGGCCAGGCACTCCCTTCTCGCAACTATGCGCTGTGTGTTAATACGAATTTTCCAATATTCTAACATTTGTTCCACCAAGTTCTCGTAACAATTTGTAATTTTAGCACAAAACGAGTCTCAGGAACTGGTTGACCATAAGTGGAGCCGTCTAGAAGCCATGAGTGAGATGCTTTCATCGATGAGTAGGGAGTATCGAGAAATCGCACAACAATTGCAAGTTAGTGTTTATCATTTCATTAGATAGGAAAAGTCTACTTCAACCAACCTATCATTCATAGTATTTTGCGTTTTTGCGTAACAGAGATCTCGACCAGATTTGCGCTATCCAGACCTCTACGTGGAGATGTATGAAATCGGGGAAAGTGCTTTCGCGCCACACTCTCTTATGACTGTTTCCGCACTGACGGCTCAGTCCACGACCGATGCCACAAACTTGACACATTTTCCATCGGCTTCCACGTTGATTCAGCAGCCAGCTGCTATGCGTCCGTCAGTTCCACATGGTGTCTCCCCCCCTTCTACAGCACACTGGCCAATCGCGTCGGGTAGCATTAAACCAGAGGATCCCGTGTGGTCCATTCAAGATCGCTGGAATGACACCGCCCCCGCTATCTCGTCAGCCAATCCCTACCAAATCTCCAACTTTCTAGACTCCACCCACCCGCCCACGCAACCGTAGATGGTTGACGTCCTCGTTGTGGTGGCCAATCTCTCAGGGCTTGAAAAGAAAACAGGAGCTTTGTTTTTACACTTGTTTTATAACTATGAGGGGATACCGTCTGTTCTTCTTCCTCCACCTACTCTCCTTTTTCTTGCGCTTTTCATCACGCAAACCACGGCTGGGATTCGTCTGAAATCTGCTACCACTACCTCAATGGCTAAATTAGGACTCCACACGTTCTTCGTTTTTTCCCTTTTGTGTCTGTACGTGAAAGTCGGTATCCCTTTTCCTCAGGAAATCCTCTAAAGTTATATACACCCCTCTAAGGGTGATGGATACTTAATCTCAGGGCCAGCACCGGGGAGTGTTATATCAAGGTTACTGGAAGTAAGCGCCCTCCATATTACGAATACTGCTTTTTGATTGAATGAAATAAAGCCTTTTGCACAATGCCGACCTTTTGACCATTCACGGTTTTAAGCGGAAAAGGTCGTAGTAGAATCCGTCATTGAAAATATCTTCACGTGGAAGCCCTCTCGGTCTTCGTCCGCATCTATTTCGTGCCTGTCATCTTTGCACCTTCTCAAATTGTCATTCATCCGTTTTCGTGGAACAGATCCGGCACCTTTCCCGTTGCTGTGACCGCTGTTGGACGATTCAAACCCATTGCATTGTGGGACCGAGGAAAAGCATTGAAGGCCATGCGGAACCTCATGGTGAGAGAGGCCAGCCTAGTCTTGACCGGATGGTCTTCGTTGTACGCGACTTTTGCGTGAATCTCCATAAATTGAGACTTGCTTCGAGATGAAAGTCGTTAACATGGTGCATCATAACTCGGGGAGCGCGTGACCCAGTTGTCTCGAGCCAAGTCAAAATCAAAAAGCCGTCTACTGACAAACCATAGGTAGAAACAATACAATCCGTAATTAGGTGATAATGCTCAAGTGGAGGAGAAACGAATATGACTAGGAAGCACAAAGCACATACAAGGGAATGGAAATGCAGAATAGATTGAGACACAAATTGGTTAGCATCTTGGGATGCACGACTTCATATCCTGACCGGTGAGGGAGGTAATCAACTGCGGAAGGCTCTCAATCAAGCGGATGATCTCGTTGGACAGCTTTGCAATTCCCACTTCATCGCCTGTGGAGACCATCGTGACTTTGTCGCAGTTAGCCAGTGGGGAGCTGACCTCGGCTGCTACACGTGGCAGTGTCTGCAGTACCATGTCCAACATGGCCGCGCCCTGTTGAAAAGTTGTAAGGAAGGAGGAATTTGAGTGATGATAAGCTAGGAGAAGTAAAGTGACATGGATGTGGGCAAACGTTCTTCCTTTGTCACGTCAGTGCAATCATTCAACGAAAGCGCTTCAACCTGTTGGAAGATGCCCTCTTGAGGAGCCTTCATCGCCAAGCCAAATACACGGCGACGAAGATAAATTCATGCTCTTGAAGTCCCGTTTTCACGTGACACGACTATCTAAATCTCAAGAGCAGCGTGAATTTGCCGAACAGAAGTAATTACTGCTTCCAACGTGAACACCCACTTAATCATTTTCTCCAACTAATAAATAAATTAGAAACCGTTCTCCTTAACATTAACTAGAGCATTAAAATGGTCAATTCATGCGAAAATTATGAAATGCGTACCTGGTAATTTTTTAAAGCCTCAGCCACCTTTTGCATCTTCTCCGCCTCCGCCAGGGCTACCGCCCGATTCGCCTCGGCCTCAGCAAGGCCCTTCAATTTCACCGCATCTGCCTCCGCCTCCGCCTCTGCCTTAATACGAGCCTACAAGGAGGACGGAAGAATACACTGAGAGTCATGTAAAAGAATATACCCCGTGGGAAAAAAGATTGGAATGACTGTTGCACATCGTCGAAAAAGTTGGATTAAGGAAAAAATATCAGTAAGAATTCAATAGAGGCTAAATACTAGATGATATCAAGAGGAATCATCCACAGGAAATTACCGAATGAATATACAGGTCAGTCGAGAGTTATACATAAACAACCGCCTGTTGATTCCCCTTCACTGACCAGACAAGATGGCTAGGATATACGTGCATTTATGTTATGACAAAGCGATTAGTTCCAAACCTAAAGACAAAAACCTAATAACCAGGTTAAGTGTGAGAGACTAACAAAGGATAGGTAAAAGGGTCTATAACTGAATGGAGCAAAAAGTAGTGATTAGTGAGAGTGAGGGTGATTAGGCCACACCTGTTCGGCCTCTGAGAGGGCGCGAAGGCGGAAGCACTCAGAGGCGGCGGGACTGCGCACCTCCGCCTCGAGACGGAAGTGTGCACGCTGTCGCTCCAATTCCTCCAACTCGATGCGCCTTTTTCGCTCCACCAGTTCCACACCCATCACCTCAGCACGAATTGCTTGTTGCGTCCTTGCTACCTGCAAGGAATATCAACCCTTTGATGAAATGATAACAAAGCAAACAATAACATTAGACTTTAACCTTCCACACCTCCCGATGCAGGTTGTTTGCTCGAAGCATTTTAAATGAAGTTATATTGACAAATAGAAAATAGTTGAAAATTTTGGCAGATGAATCAACATAAATAAAGGGTCAAATTGGCTCAGTCTTTCTTTGCTTTCGAGCCGAAATTCCAATGTAGGTTTATAACTTTATGGTATTACGCGCTTAAATGAAGTTGTGTGATAAAATAAAAAAAACTGAAGCATTGGATTCAAAATGAAAACATCAGTGCTAACAACAAAATGATTGCATATGATTAACGTTTGGATAGCAACATGCACGTTGGATTGGCAGAAGAGTAAAGAGAACTTCGAGCAAATGAATGAAGAGCGCACCTGAAGTTGGTAGGCTAATTGAGCCTTGGCCTGGAGGGCGCGAATTTCACGATCACAGGCGGCACGACGCAGCGCAAGGTCACGTTGAGAACGCGCGATCGAGGCTTTGTTACGCAGCTGCTCCGCCGTCCGCGCCTCCTCCGCCTGCGCTGCACGAATACCCGCGTCCCGACGCGCCTCCGCCTCGCCGATCCGCGCATCGCGCTTCACTTGAGCCGTGCGCGCCATCCCCAGTGCCTCGAGGTAGCCCTGTCACGATTTGAATAAATGTAATGTTTACCAGTTGCCCCAAGACTAAGAAATTTTTAACTTACACACGTTGTGCCTAACTTAATCTATTCCTAAAATCCATTTGCTAATCAAAAATTTAAATTAATCAGCAATAAAGCAATTAAGACTTGCCCGTGATATTTTCAAAAAATTCATACCATTTCTCTTGCCCACTTTCAAACATTTCGATCCCATCAAAGCGCTAAAAGCTAACTTCGAGCGAATGCCCGGGTGCATTTTGATAATTTACAATCCCATTTGCATGCCTCAAAATAAATAAATAACTATGTCGTTAGGCGCGCAAAAACCTTAGCATCTAACGGAAAATATACGACCCAATATCAATACTTGTTTCAGAATGCAAACTACAGACCATCACTCACCTCATCGTCTTTGATATCCTTAAGGGTATAACTAACAACGCTAATACCCATATTGACAAGATCGGAGGAGGCGACCTCAAAGACACTGCGGGAGAAAAGTTTGCGGTC